GTCGTGACGTCGCAGCCGTGCCTGGCGATGCGTACCAGCAGGTGTGTGTAGCTCCGTCAAGCTGCCTTGGTGGGTACCGCGACTCCGGAGACGACGAGGCTTCGTTCGAGGCCGCTGCCAGTCAGACTTCCGCGTTCGCTGGAACCGCAGGCCTATCCGAATTTCACAAATTAGTATTGGAATCGATGAGCTCTTATTTCACTGCAATGAAATCCTCGAAGGATAGATTTTGTATTTATAAACACATTGAAATCATACGCATTACATGAGAGAGTTAATTCTTATTGCATTCTAAACACAATAAATAAATATATATATACATGTATATATACTTATTTATTTATTTTAAATTTTATTAATATTGAAAAAATTCTTTATTTATAATATATTTGGTGAAAAAACTTCTATTTTAAAAATTTGCTATAGCTATTTAATTAGCTTACTAATTTGTAAATTATTTATATCAATGAAACACAAATAAATTAATAAAAATATAAAAAAGAATATCTATTTTAATTATTCTAAGGTATAAATAACTTTCAAATTAGTAATCTAATTAAGTAAGTTAAGTGTAAATTTTTAAAATAAAGATCTTTTTGATATCATATATCCGCCACAATAAATTAATAAATTGAATAATAAGATATATATGTGATTCTCAAATCATTGATGATTTATTCTGACATTTGATATATATGAAGAGTATCTCGATTTTATCAATAAAAACTTAGCAGTAAAACGTACCTTTAGTTCGCTGAAGATCTCTGTGAAGAATCCGGGCTCGCTGTTGATTCGCAGCATTTCGGAGCTAAGTCGGTTGACGATCAAGAGACATCGGTCCCAGAATTTATCTTTGCTATCCTCGACGAGGAACGGTTTTAGCGGATAACTGATCTCGTTGCCCATGTAACTATAGCTCAGGTAAAGACACGTCAGCACCGTCGCTTGGAGTTCCTTCTCGGATGCCTCCTCTCCGTCGACGAGCTCTTTCACCAACATGTACACGAACACTACATTGGCAGGGTTTATAAAGGGCACATCCTGCCAAACAAAAGATAAGCGTGCAATTAAGACATTATGTCTATTGCAAACTTTCATCTGAGATAGCACAGTTTTCAATCTTATATAAGTAATCTAATTAGTAATAGGTTAGCTAAAACACATAATGCTCTGGTCCATAATTTTATATTAATTTATTTTATTTTATTATTTATATTTTTTATTTTTATTTATTTTTTATTTTATTTAATTTTATATTATATTGATTTTTGTTCTTTTAAATTGTCGCCTGGTCTTTTATCGAAATAACTCGTCACATATTCATGAATATAATAATAAAAGATTATGAGTTACATCTATAAATGTTTTTCTTTTTATAACTGAAATACTAATAATGTATACGAAATTCATAACAATTCTTAGTTATAAAAATAAAAAGGCATCATTCTATCAGATGTCTATTAAATATTTGCTCAAGTATTTTGTATTTGAAAATTTATTATTAAAATTAATAATTTCTAAGAGATACACATAAGTTGAATTCAACTCTTATTATTTATACAGAATCTCTATCTTGTTTTTATTTTCTATTATTATTATCAATGACATATATCAATTCACGTTTTTAATTATACTCTTGTTACTAATTGCATACTATCTGTCATATAAGTATATGTTAAAGTATAACGTCATATATATACGCGTACATGTGTGTCAATATAAATACATATAGGCATATTGGACGCAAGCGCTTTGAATACAATTATAGTCACACAGATGTTAATTAGTGCGGATACACATATAAGGAGAATATGTCGTATAAATACGGGTCTATTTATACTTGACAAGATTTCCGTTAGCCATGAAACATAAAAAAGTGTGCAATCAGGTAAATCTATACTAGCAAACAATTGCAATATTAATTTATATTGCGCACAGCAATTTTACAAACTTTCATACGTCGTGTATACACGAATGCGCAATAAAACACTGTTCTTTCTAATATCGCTACTATATTAAGAAAAATTTATCACATGTCTTGAAAAATTGTCGTGAAAAATTTATCACGTGTCTTGTTGAGTGAAAAGTCCACTCGAGAGAGAAGAATACACATCTTTTATGTATTATCAAGAAAATGTGTAGGTGTTGTGAAAGATCATCTCTGCTTTTATCATAATTAAATGTCTAAATAATTTAAAAACCGACTAATAAAACCGATAGTTTCCTAAACAATAATCAAATAATATAAAATATAGGTTAAAAAATAAATCAATTAATTTTATCAATATTAACAAGTTTTACAATTTAATGTTTTTAAGCAATAGATTAGCTTATTTCAAATAAATTGTATCGCGTATTATAAACGAGCCTGATACTAATGTGCATTAGCCTGATAGTGCAGATGCATCAGTTTGACCTAATTTTCAAATATAATGTGCGTAAATAACTAACTATATAGTGTCACAGTAAGTAAATAAATAATATTCGCTCCGTAAACACAGAGAGATAATAATGAGACATTATGAGAAGTCGGGGATCGATTTGATCGCGATCGTTAACACAATTAGTCAATCACGCATTACATTAGGAATAACAAACGCTTTGTTTGCGAGAAGACGGAAGAAAAAAAAGGGGATACACGTATCATGAGATTATTCTCGTAATGTAAGGAGTAGGCTCATCGATTCGCGAGGTGCGACTTGATGCACATGTGGGTGCATCAGGCGCGGCGAGGCCGCACGCTGGTGACCCGGGGAGGATCGATGCCCCCGATACGGGGTTTGCGTACCCCCGCGCCTCTCGCGACGATCGGCACACAACCCGTTGCTGTTTTTTTTGTTGCCCTATGCACGGCCGAGGAGCGGCCGGCCGTTCCTCGTTAGCCTGGTCGTTTAATGCACATTACGCCGCGCGCATTCACGCTTGCAATTTGCTCACACGCCAGAATGCACATCCCCGGACTCTCTCCCTCTTTATCTCTTTCATTGTGCCGGCCGTCGACACTGCCGACGACGATGATACGCCCTCCTCGCGCGAGGAATAATCGGAGCAGCATACGTTGCACAATGCAGCGGAAAGAAAAAGGGATGCTGCGCGCTACCTCGCGTGAAAGGCTGCCTCTGCGTGAGATTCTTCCGAGATCTCTTTTCATGAAGACTCCAGAAATTGCGAATACAGTCCGACAACTGTAAGGCTTCATTGTCGCTTTTTGTGTTCCTAGAGCCATTTCATCAAGCTTTTCAATTTTTAATTTTTAATTTCTTAATTTTTTTAATTTTTAATTATTTAATTCTTAATTTTTAATTCTTTTTAAAATTTTTTCCGAATTATTTCTGGAAGAATAGATTTAGGTAATTTAAAAAGAAAATGTAAGATAAATAATGTAAATTAAAATTATTTTAAATCATGAAATCCTTTGTTCGTTTGATAACAAATGACCCATACGATTTATTATTATTACATTGATTAGTCGTGATTGATCAAAAATAATTCTTTCAAATTACGATTTTACTTAGCCATTCTATATGCAAACTGTTGCGAGTGTGAAAATCTGTAGAGGAGATATTCTAGAAAAGCTGTGCTTTTTCCAGATTCCTCCAATGTTAAAATGGTCGACAAATTATCAATGATACTAGACGAATAGAGATATGCAGAAATCGCGTGTCATTATCGAGAAAAATTATTCATAGATAACGTCTGTCGACGGAGATATGTTTTTATGTCTACAACCTAACGAAGTAAAACCTCGTCTATAGACTTAGGATATCGCGTGAGCGAATATAATAAACGTAAAATTATCGGGTCACACTCATGAAATACTTGCATTTTATTTTTAAAAAATATAGTTTGTCCCAGATTTTTTATTTCTCCGACACTTATGTCATTTTGACCTATCAAATAATATCTAATTTTATTATTTATTTAATTATTTATTTTAACAAATAATTTTATTAATATAATTCAAATTATTATTTTTTATTCTCACTTGACATGTAAAAAGAAAGATTATATTATATTAGAAACAATGCATTATATATAATAGAAAATTTTAATATTAAATAAATTAAATAAA